ATGTCGCGCCTCGTTAGGCCTGCAGTCAGTGACTCGAAAATTATGTGGAAGGAGCCTGTTTAACTCGACAGAGGCAAGTAGAATCTTTCTCTAGTTTACTCATGACTGTCTACTTATGACTGCGCATGCGTCTGACGAAGCAAAGTCATGAGAAGAGGGCAACTGATAAATGACACCTATTGCATTGATTATGATGATTATCTTGCTGATGACAAAGACGATGATGAGTTTCTATGATGAGAACGACGACGATAATGGTAATGATGATGTCAAAAAACAACGATGATGGTGATTCTGTGTCATTCTTCAATGGGTTAAAACGTACATTGAAACTTAAGTTACTTCAGGACGACATCCAAACGCAGCTATTTCAACTAAATCCACAGAACTTTAATTGACACAACAGCAAATACAAAAGCGACTTGAGTTCTCCCGATAATTCAGATCGTCGAGGCGTTCTTCTCGGAGGAATTTAAGGTCAATAGGGATAACATTTGAAATAATAAAATGTGGCTGGACTAATTGGAATCACGAAATTAAAGAAAAGAAGAAGGTCAAAGGAGGAAATAAATGTAGGAAAATGGAGCAAAAATGAATTTAAAAAATGAATAAAAGAAAAATATTTAATATAGATAAATAGTGATAAAATAATAAATACGAAAATATCCTATAATGTTAAAACCAAGTATAAATTCAAATGAATAATTAATAATTATAGGGATATTAATAATGATCACGATAATGATAATAATAATAGAAAAGGATTCAACAAGCAGCTGCAACAAAAAAACTAGACTGATTTTTGAAAACGTAACTAAGCAGTCACGTTTCAAAAATCCAGCTAGAAATAGTAACGTTTTCCCTTTCCTATTACAATCATTATATACGATCATTATTAGTATTATTGGAAATTTATTTTATTAACCCTATTTATTAACTATTATTTTAAATTTTTTTACATTCTTTAAATTTATTTATTTATTATTTACTATTATTTTAAAGTAAGTTCATTTTTGTTGCATTCTCTAAATTTATTTACTTTCTTGACCTTTTTTTCCCTTTGTTCTTTAGCGCGCAAGTCATTATTTTCAAGATTCATCCCTACTGACCTGTATGATTTTTAAGTTTTAAACAATTGTACCAAATTTCCAACTGTGCTGTTTTCATACTATATAAGCACGACCTGACTATCGGAAATATCGGGAAACGCAATATAGCTTTTGTCTTTGCTGTTTTGTTATTATAGCTGACTAAACGCAAGGACCCAATGAAGGGGGAGGGCTACTAAGCTTTGATAATAAGTTCAGTTAAGCGTGTGATCTTGACTTTGTCTTGAGTGATTTAGGAGCAGTGAACGTCGACAAGCTAAGCAGCCTGATGTGGCATCGCGATGTGAAGAGGCCCTGACGATTGATGCCTGTTACATTGATGATGATGACGATGATGATGATGATGATGGTGATGGTGATGATGATGATGAGTTATGCTGAAAATGATGAAGACACGATGATGAATATGAAGATGATAACAACGACTGCTGAAGATGCTGACGATGATGTTGATGACTATGACGATGGTGATGACGATGATGATGATGATGACGACGATGATGATGACAAGGCGAATGCTGACGATTAACTTGATGACGCTGACGATAATGCTAACGATGATGATGATGATGTGCAATGACAGATGCTGACGATTTTGTTGATGACGCTAACAATGACGATGATGCTAATGTTGCTGCTGCTGCTGCTGATGATGATGATGATGATGCTTATGTTCTTGTACTCAGATGAAGAAAATCACACCTCAGTTAATGGCCATGGCGTCTTCACCTGGTGAGCACCTTTTTCCTTCTTAAATAGCCGACTCGATCTCCAGTCGCTTTTCTTCTCTCTCTTAAATATCAACGAGAGAGGTGCGTGGAAAATGCCTCTCGCTCAGATGCTGTAATATAGTCTCACGTGACCATTCCCTGAAAGGCAAAGACCTAAAAATGAAGCTAGAGGTGTCGGGGAAAACAAGCTTTGAAAACGAGAAGATTTGACTTGCCTCAGACATAAGCTTTCCGTGCTTTACTTCTGAAAGCTGTAAACTGCTAAGGAAGAACAGAAAATGCATTTTGGAGTAAGATACCATGGGTTCAAACTCCATGAAATGAATCAGTTTTGCTTACTTCAATTGCATTCAAAACAAAATAGAAGTGGGAATAAACATTGTACGCACCTGCCTCAATGATAAATTTAAATTTAAGGCTATAAAAAAAATACACCACGACAATACTCTTTAGCAATAGTAAAATAAACCTGGGAGATTCTTGTTTAAAAATTTAAAAAAAGGTGATTCCAATCTGTTTCGTTCCAACAGCACCCATGAAGTAAAGAGTGCAATTCAAGAGTCCTTATATATCAGTCTTATTGGAGGAAGAGTGTGGATGTACTTGCACTTCTCTAGCTACCACCCTACGTGCAGGAGAAAACAAGCAAAGATGAACTTTAAACTACCATAGACTCTATAATATTTAAGTAAGGCCCTTGTTTAAACAGACTGCTTTTCGCAGCGCTCTCCCTTGCTTTCGCCAGCAAACACTGATCGTTTAAGAAAACGGAGCCAATTCTACAAGGTTTAAACTCGAAACAATTTGTTCTTTTGCTAAGATTTTATCCCATATATTTTGCTTTGTAAACCGGCCATCGGTCCTAAACAGCAGCGAGTTTGAACTTGGGTCTATGTTCTTAGAGAAAGGTAGTAATATCGGTCGATCAATCATAACGGTTTAACGCGCGGTCTGTACGAACTGAACTCTTTCACAGCATTTATGAAAATAAAGAAATTATGGTTCAGTGTTACCTCAGAGTTTGTTGAACAAACCCTTTATGGTGTCAACATGGAAATAAAACTTTTTCAGCTCTAACAATCATTTTTCAGGATTTTTCGAACTAGAAAACAAGATAGTAAATAAATATTTATATGAATAAGGTTTCAGGCTGTTAGAGCAAAAGGAATAATAAAAATCCGTAGTTTTCTTGTTCTATTCAGTATTGGTTTCGTGCTAGATGAGCATGGACTAAGGTCAATATGTAGCAAATGTGAGAACCATTATTTAAAGGGAGAAAGCTATTTTACAATTTGCAATATATTTTAGAGAGATGTAGAATTCATCAATTAGGCTAAGAATGTAAAAGCGTAACTTGGAACTTCTGAATTCTTCTTAATTAATGCAACTGACTTCGCTGATTTCATAGCTTAACATGTAACATAACTAACAATAACCTTATAATGCATGAAGATTTTTAGTGGTTCCAAGTGAAATGTTTTGCCTGATATGAATTGGCTGAAGAAAAAAAAAATTTAAACTTTATAGTGGCTATCTGCCGAGTGAAGACACGGAATCATAGCTTTCAAACCTTTACATTGGTTCAATAAACATACTTTAATTAAGTTCTGCAGACACAAAAACAGAGATCCAGGTTAATGCGCTCGTTAAGCGCTTTGATATCATTGCTTGCGCACTTTGAAAAGGCGACAGTCGTGAGATGTTTAAGTCGCGCTATTCTGGGGTCAGCCTTGCCGACTCGACAACTCAGCGAACAAACGGTTTTCTTTTAGCCTCGCTAAACTAAGAGGTCACTTCTATTTACTTTTTTATATATATATACTACATTACTTATTTATATAAGATAGCAGACCTTAAAACCCCAAAGGCATCACCATAGCACTGGTTGGGGGTACACGGTCCCTATTTTTCCAAAATTGGTTTTTCGGGGTTTACGTGTCCGGCTGTGGTTTTCTCGTATTTTTATGTTGATGTTTTTTATGATACATGTATTCTTAATGTATTTCTTAGCAATAAAGTGTACTGTCTTGGGCTTTATAAATCGCGTGTTGGTTTTTTGGTTGTTCATATGAAGGGGACGCAAAATATTTTGACTAGAAGATGATCACGCTCTTATTGTAGGGGAACTTGATTTAAACTCCTGTTTCCTTTTTTCTTTACGAAAGGTTGATATCTGATGTTTCAGCGACTCAGTATTTGCCGCGCAGAATACTGTTAGTCTCATGAGCGAATGCTTTGGCCCAGCTTGCCCTTGATTTAAATCTGTTCACAGTACAATTAATCTGTTAATTTCTTACTATTGTTCTAGAAAAACACACAAGTTAAGCTGTTGTAATCTCCTCGCTCAGAATGCAAAGCTTTTAAATTAGGGACAAGGAGATTATCATTTGTTTGAGTGCGAGAAAATTAGTTAAAACAAACTTTCTAATAAAAACTTTCTAATAAAAACTCTCTCTTCGAGATATCTATAAGCCGGTTTACGCGTAGTATAGGCTATTTGGCGAATAAGTATAGTCTTCGGCTCGCAAGCTCATAATCATGTGAATACTTCCTAGCCAGGTCTTGTTAAGAAATGAAGCCTCTAGCGGAACGATCGAAGCAGCGCGGAATTTGAGCACTGTCTTCTAGTTTCAGATTTTAAAACAGAACAAGGGGGCTATTATGTAACTTCTTTAACTTCTTATTTATTACAAGCTTAGTTTATAAGAGTCTATGAATGACAGTTAGAACATCCTGATAAATACTAAGGAGCCACTGAGGTTTTGTTTTTTTGTTTATCTGTCTGTTAAAAAGGGAGTTCTAACTTTTGATCGAGTCGAGGGATAAGTCAGCCTAAATTAAGTGTGGCCGTTCAAATGAAAGCCACTTAGCGAACAAATGGCTCATTCATGAAGCTTCAATTAAACTCGCTCATTGTTGTATTTACCACACTGACAACTGAGCGTTAGACCGAATCAAACAAGAGGCTTGTTTTTTGCAGTGAATTGACGACCAAACAAGAAGGTCGTTGGCTTTCAGAAGCGGCACTTTTTTTGGAAAATCTAGCGCCCTTCTGAGTAATCAGAGAAGTTTTGAAAGGTGTAGAATTCAATTTTAAGGTTAAAACCAGTGGCATATTGTCCGAGGTTAGGGCAACACGTCTGATGCAGCTTTATTGATTAGCAATGGCAAGCTCTGTAAGCACGTCTTTGGAAGAAAACTCTACAGAGATTTCTCTACGAGGAGTACTGAAAAAAACGGAAAGCCTATCGCGCCGACGACTTTACAAACACCCTCGATCCTTCACCCCATGGAAGACGATCAATATGGCAACCCGTCAATTCCGTGCCTGGAAAACTCGTATAAAATGATCCCTGACGCGACGTTCAATTCCGAACAAGCCCGACGACTTGCCGAAGACGTTTTGCATCGTAACTTCAAAGGCGTGAAATACGAGGAGGAAAAATGCAAAGAGCTTGTGGTAAAAGCCACGGAGGAGTTGAAAAACTGCGTAAAGGGTCTGGGATGCAACAGATACAAATTCGTGTGCGTGGTATACTTAGGCCCGTTACAGAGTCAGGGAATGGCGATTACAAGCCGCTGTTTGTTGGATGAAAGATTCGACAGGTGTTCTACCGCCTGTTATCGAAATCCGTGGTTGTATGTTGTGGCCTCGATATATGGCGTATTTTATGAGTAGCTTTAGGTTGGCGCTTCAATTACTGGACACTTACACCATGTTTGCTTCTTTGTCAATTTGGCCTATACAGTTCCACAATGGCCACCCTTGGGACAGAAGATAGTGGCCGAAAAATAAAAAAGTGTTCCGTTGTAGAGTGGTTTAGCAAGAGTCACAACGGAGCTTGAGCAACAACGACCGCGCTGCTTCAAACTTTATCGCGCTTATTTCATCTCGTTTCATTTGTCAAAGGCTGGCCAATTTTTTTGTTATTGAATTCTAAAGGACTGTATCAAAGTTCAGGAAAGGGATAGGAAAGTTGTTGTCTTGTGCTCCCATCCTCAAAAAAAAAAACGTGAAATTAGGCACTTTCACGTTGTACTCGTGCAACGACGGCGAAGAAATCGTGATCGACGTGCAAAGCTGTTGTGTTGCAAATCTAAACCTATTGTTTTTTGTCGTTCTCGTTGCCGTCGCCGTCGTCGTTGCTTAAGCTCCCTAATGTATAGATTATTTGCCCGCCGGGACAAGAACTAACAGATTCGGAAATTTTTGCACCATCAAATACCAGAATCACGTTTAAAATAGCGAAATGTCATATGTCTTAGCATTAACAGGTATATTTACGTGTCACGATCATAATTTCGAAGTATTTGTGTGTAATCAATGACCCGCCTTGTAATTCAGTTTATGCTGCAAAAAGGTTGAATAAACGATTATTCAGTTATTATTATTATTATTATTATTATTATTATTATTATTATTATTATTATTATTAAGAAAAAGTGGCTGTTGTGGAGAGGTGGCCGTTAGTGGAGACTCAACTACAGATTGCTTTCACTCACGTTGTCGGCAGCTTTGCAAATTTATTAGAACAAAAGAAAGTTTTTATATATAAGAAATAAGTCGAATCCCCACAGGCTTCCTTTTTTGGTACTCTCACATGGCCGGTGTTTCATTGTTTTGTACACCATTATGGCGGCCATGACGTCTACCAAAAAAAGCCTGGCCAATACCCGGCCATCTCGGAAGCTATCTTAACCGCACTCTTGGCCAAAAACGCCCAATTATAAATTTTTGACCCTGTTCCAGACAAAAATTGTATAAATATAGGCATCCTTTTCCTGCACGTGAATTGCTCAGGAAGAAAAAGAACAGGGGAGCACAGTTTGTACCTTTGATCAAGAATCATCTGGGATTACAGGGGGGTGAGGGGTTGATGAAATCAAAGTCAAACTGAAGTATAATATACCGCTCTTCTAAGCTAAGGGTGATTTTTATTTGCTGCGTCAGAGTTAGAGAGGTAAAAAGTATACCCCAGCGTTGAGCGGTGTGGGGAATATTTTTGTCCAATTTCCAGTAATACTGAAGCCTCACTGTTTTATTCCCCTATCGATCCAAGATTATATGTATAAAAATAATCATTTCTTTAACAAAACAAATCACGAGTTTCAATAGCGTGACATCTACCACAGAGTCGTATATCCTACCTATATTGTTCTCGACAGCAGTACATACTCAGATACCTCAAATATGGGAATACCCCCTCCCCCCGCCGGGACAGGATGGTGGCCAAAGGTGCCCGGGGGGACTCCCATATGAAAGGGGGGGATGCTCGTCGGAAATTTTTAATTAAACCCCTAAAGGAGACCAATCTGGGCGTGGCCCAACCTTTTTTTGACCCCTAAAAGCGATCATTTTAAACTTTAATTAAATGAATCGAGTAAATAAAACGAATTGAAAATATATAATTTTTTTTAATATTTCTTCGAGTGCAACCCTAAAAGAGACCTTTACGGCTAAATATAATGGTGTTTTACCCAGAACACCCTAAGCGAGACCAAAATCTGAAATTTACACCCCTAATTAAGCGAGATGACTAGCATCCCCGCCCCTTTCATATGGGAGTCCCAGCCGGGCAAAAGTGGCCTCACGAACATTATTTCAGCCTGTATTGTATGCACCAGAATTTCAAAGAATAATTGTTAAAAAAAAACCCACAGCGACTAAGAGAGGATGAACGAGACATCCTTTATCCTCTCTTGATTGCGACTCAAAAAGAATTAGATAGGGTAAGCATGCGCACTGTGTTATTAGTTACATATTGTAACTAATAACTTTGAATTCTATTTTCGCTTATTTTCAACTTTTTCAACTTTCAATTTTGTTTATAATAGGTTAATTTATAATGCCCATTACGAGTTCTATTTCACTGTGGAACTTGATAAATTATTAGTGGTCATTTGTAAATAGATCGTTTTCACATGACGTCACGGCGGCCATATTTTGTTTATAACAGGTTAATTTATAATGCCCATTACGATTCCTATTTCACTTTGGAACTTGATAAATTATTTGTGATCATTTGTGACGTCACATGACGTCACGGTGGCCATATTTGTGTACAAAACAATGAATCGGCGGGAATTGAACTCTTTTTACATGTTAAAACTTTTTTTATTCCAAGCAATTTGCAAAGCTAATGACCACGTGACTGAAGACGATCTATAACAAAATCACAGCCATCAACCACGTCGTTCGGATTTTTTGGGGTAAAACAGTTCTTCATATTTACCGTTCATAGTTACAGTACCAGAATGTTTGTACTGCAGATGAAAAGTAAAGTGTTCTTCATTCAATCTTAAAAATGGGTCAATTCATAAAACTAGAATTCAAAGTGACAAAGCGGGATCGCGAAAATTACTTATTTGCCTAAAAGTGACTACGATGGGGTCTATAATTGGCCACAGAATAGACTATAATGGGGTAGGGGCGCTGACAGGCCAGCGGCACATACGCAGCAAAAATTAACCCAAGTATCCCCCCCCCCCCCCCCCCCCGCTGTCTTCTTTCTTTTTTTTTTTCTCTTTTTTTTTTTTTTTTTGTTTTTTTTTATGCTTTTTTTTTTCCTTTTTACCCTCTTTTCCCGTTTGTTTTTTATTTAAATTTTTTTATTTACCTTCTCAGGCCTAAGAAGTCACTGTTAGTATCCCCCCCCCCCCGGCATTATGCTTCTTGTTCTGTTTCTTATACTCTTTTTTTTTTTAGAGTTGCTATTGTTACAGCTGTTTTTACTCAGTTTGATGCCCTGTTCCCGCTGTTTGAATTTTAAAAATTTTTAAATTTCGTGACACGGCTCAAAGACTAATATCTTGTAACAATGCGATGACCGACAATAATTTGATTAAGGTCAAGTACTAAATACCAACAGGTCAGCCATGAGATCACCATATGATTTCGACTGAAATATCTGCATTTTAATTTCTTCTAATTTGCACAATGACTACGCTGATCTAATAAGAAGCGAAACGCAGTGGTTCTGTCATTACTTTGTTCAGTGTTTGTTTTCGCTTGAATTCTAAAATGGCTTTGGTAACGGAGTATATTTTGCGAGTTTTACCTGACTCGTATTCAGTGTGGATTGCGGTGATTTTGTCCGTGGTAGTTGTGTTCTTCGCCAACTTTGTAATCGGCTGTTTTGAACAACGGCGTCGTTCCGCAAGGTCAATCGCTAATGTTCCTGTTCCACCCGGCCATTGGCTTAAAGGACACCTTGACTACGTAAGTTAATTTTGAAACATTGGCAAGCACGGGTATCCCAAACTCTTTGGGAGCCGTCAACGTACCAACAGCCAAACATTTATGACATTTATAATGGTTTGCACAGAAATGTAAGGATTGTACCTAACAGTTCGAAATATGGGAAAGAAATTAAAATTGTGGGCGTTTCAGAGCGATTCTGGCGAATTTTAGAGGTAAACAGCGAGCCTTAAACTCGTTACAATCGTTCTGGAACGATCCCAAAACACCTGGGAAAAACAAGAAATGCACAGATCAAAGAGGCGAAGTAGATCGCTGTTTGTTAAATTTCTCTCGCATATTTCGTACTGTTACGTAAGATCGCAAGCTCTTATATTTTCTCTTTTTAAGCAATGTAAATATGAAGGAGCTTGGGCTACCTGTGTGGCAAGCTCCCCTCTCTCGCAATGAATAAAATAAGTAGGTGTACGCACGCTCGCTCTTTTACACAGCCCTGTTAAAAAAAAGCTGTGTCAAGAAATTTAGCAAAATTCAATCATTGGGAAGACCTGTGAACCGTCAACAAACTAATGAAGCATAAAAATAACCGCTCAAAACATGAAAAGCAAATACAAAAGGAGACACGGATGGACTAGCCTGCGAACAGCAGACGCATTTCCGGTCGTCGCTTCTCTAGGGAGATGCGACGACCAGAAATGCGTCTGCTGTTCGCAGGCTATGGGTGGACAAACTTGAAGAAGACTGAAACAGATTGAAACTGTGGTTTTTGAAAACTTGTCATCCTAACTATTTTTTCAAAGTTCATTTTTGTTGTTTGCAACGTATGATATAATGCTTGGGAGACATATTTGTTCGACACGAAGCTGTGATTTCGGTCATCAGATGTTTGCAAAGCATTTTAAAAACTTTACTAGTAGCAGTAAAAATATTTTTAGCAAAAAACTTTAACAGTGAAAGTTAACGAAACATAGTTCAAAGTTCCATAGCGAATAAGGACAGCATTATTAACAAAATGAACTGGACAGTCGCGACACAGCACCTTTAAGGGCACAGGTTTTGTTCTTGGAGCAGGAACTTATCATGTATGTTAGCTCAGTTCTGTTCTACGCCACTTAGAGGTATAACGTATTTTTACCCGGTGGGTACTCCCTTATATACGCTTCCCTAGTAAATAATTAATGAGTAGAGACAACTTGAGACGACTGGGGACGAGTCAGCCTTTTCACTGCTTTTATACCATTCTCTCTGCAGGCGGGGTTCGATGGAGCCGGACTTAAATTCCACCTTAAGTGTGCAACTGAGTTCAAGACCTGTTACGGGCTTTGGTACGGGCCTCTAAGGGCAGCAGTTGTTGTCTGTCATCCTGACACTGTCCAGGTGATCCAGTCAAGCAATGCACCAAAGGAAAAATTCGTTTATGATATAGTGAAGCCATTTCTTGGTACGTGTTCAACTTACACTAACCCCGCCCGAAATAAGTG